CCAAAGATATGTTGACTAAGATGAGATCAGAAATACGCATCCTGATGGAAATCAGTCGGTGAAACAAGCTGCGACTCCGGAGTTTCTTCATCTTGTACAGCGTCTATATAGACATTCAGTTTCTAATATCATCCAACTCACTTCCTCGGGAAAACGTTCGGAACGATCCGATGTTCTCAGGAAAAGTGCCCTTAAACCAGCGAACGAAAACACAAGAACTACGAGGCCTTCCGTAGCGTGTTCGATCCCGAAACGACCTTCCGACGCAGAACCAGAGCGACCATTTCCAAGCACACCAAGCAATCAGTCTTTCCTTCCATCCCCGTCCTAAACAGGGAAAGCATTCGCTTTCGGCGAATTGTTTAAACGCCTCGATATTTTATCAAAACACTGAACAGCAAACGCCTCGGCATCACCGTCCCCGCAGCAGGAGCTGCCCCCGGGCAGCGCCCAAACGCTTTTTGCCACCCATTTATTATTTACCCGTTACCCACTTGCAGGCCTCAGTCGGCCTCTCAGTTCAGAGCACGACGAGAACACGGGATGCAAAGTGCGCCTTTAGACGCTACCGTCGAAAGCCAGCAACCCCAACAAACACATACGCACACATACACACACCCGTTAAGAATGACCCGCTCGCCTTTCATTTTTACTAACCAGGCCCCTGGGAGTCGAAGGAGGCCTCGAAAGAGCCTCAGCTCCGTAATTTCCCGCGGGAAAGAAGAGCAGAAACGCGCGCTTGCTGTCAACAGATTATGCGGCAAAGGCCGCAGCCTCTTTCCCTCTGCTCTCGGGCGCGCCAATCGCTCCAGGCGTCCGTCAGGAAAGCGGCTGCGGGCGTCTCGCCCTCTCAAAAATTACGGTGCGTCCCCCGCTTCTACCTCCCGAAGCGAGAAAACACCGATCCGCAATAATACAAAATGGCAGCCGCGCTTCCGCTCCAGCTCCCCGCGTCCCACCTCAGCAAAACCATTGGGCGCGACTTTCCGCGCGCAGGCTCAGTGTGGCACTTTAAAAACGCACGCGCCGTGCCCCGGAAGCTCAAAGTGTAGTCAAGCACTCGGTTTGCCCTAATCGTTTCCGATGGCAGCCAGTGCCATTTTTTTCCCCACACGTGTTAAAAAAAATCGAACACAAGTTTTGTAAAGGAGAGAAAGGGAGGGAGGTGTGAAAGGTTGCCAATTTTGTTAGCAAGCCGATGGCATGTAGAACAGCGTTTTGCACCGGACTCGGAAATTTAACCGCTCCAAACTTGATTGCAGAAAGTACAACTTCAGCGACAGAGTGGTCAATACCTGCAATGGACTACCTGACACTGTTGTTACACCCCCACTCCTTCAACCTCAAACTATCCACTATTGACCTCACCCCATTCCAAAGAGGTCTGTAAGGGGCGTGCATAAGTGCACCATCGTGCCTCCCGTCCCTGTCCTATTGTCCCCATTTATTTGTACCTATTTATTTATTTATTTGATTTGCCAATTGTTTACAAGATAATAAGTATAAGTGTATACATAGTTGTGAATACATGAAATGGGTACATATAAGAAAAATAAAAGAATAAGAGAAACAATAGGACAGGGACAGTAGGCACGTTGGTGCGCTTATGCACGCCCCCTACAGACCTCTTAGGAAAGGGGTGAGGTCCATAGTAGACAGTCTAAGGTTAAAGTTTTTGGGGTTTGGGGAAGAGACTACAGAGTCGGGTAGAGTATTCCAGACATTGACCACTCTATTGCTGAAGTCGTATTTCCTGCAATCAAGTTTGGTGCGGTTTACTTTGAGTTTGTATCTATTGTGTGCTCTTGTGTTGTTATGGTTGAAGCTGAAGTATTCATTGACAGGTAGGACATTGCAATGTATGATTTTATATACCATGCTTAA